AACAGGTCGTTAATTTTTTTTCTTTAACGGAAAATAATTGAGTTGGAAATAATTCACTAAGATTGTACTTGGACGATCCTAAGGGAAGAAGAGGAAAGAAAAGAAAAAGAGAAGAGAGAGGAAGAGGGGGAAAAAAAGAGAGAAAGAGGGTTGGATGATGCATGACCCAGTCAATGGTGGAGGTAGGAGTCAGAAAGATATCTTAGCTAGCATGTTGACCGAATTTTTTAAAGACAATTGGAAGAATAGAATTAGAAATAATAAAAAGAAAGAAAGGGAAAAGACATGATATCAAAACGGGCCGCTTGATGAAAACCAGATATCGGTCAAAGCATCTAGCCTACTTTTTTGCGTAGAAAGACACCTTATCAATTTGGAAAAAGGGAAATTTTTTAGAACAATGAGAACGAAATCTTAATCAGAGAAAAAGTGTCTTTGGGTTGAGGGGAGGACCGTGGAATTGTATACAGATTCTGACCTGTTAAAAATTAGAACCCCACATTGACGAGTGAAAGATATTTTCAATGTAGATAATTAAGATTTTCTGACTGTCGGGTCTGACAAAGACGGAGGTGAAGGGGACGATTGTCTCAGTTCACAGATAGTGCCAATATTCTTCCTGAAGTCACATCTAATTAGCGGCGGGCTGATTTGACAGAGCCCAGGTGAGAGAAAGCCAAGATTATCATTTTTTCGTACGTGCGAAAAAAAAGGCCAAATTAGATTTTGTTTTTTTAGAACAAGAACGATATAAGCCCGCCCCGATTGATTGCAGGAAAACGCCCAACCAGAGTCTCATTAGGCGAAAAACGGTCACACATGTGGCGGAAAAGAAAAGAAAGAAATGCTCGATCAGGAACCATTGGTCGAAAAACGGTCACCTGACATACGAGAGACTAAGAGAGATGGGTGTGCATCTCCCCACCAAGGGCACTGTGAGGAAGTAGGGGTGAAAACAATAGCGATAATGGGAAATCAAAAATAATGCGACTTTTGGAATTATCGAGAAAACCCTGATGCCGACAGACCCACCCCAGTTTGTTGCGGCGTCAATAAAAGCAGGACCCCAGTCGACAGAAATCAGTTGAGTTGAGAGTTGGAGTGGAGTTGCAGCTGGACCGCGGGCAGGGATAGAGCCTGAACGCGGGCATCAGGCCCGATTCACTCGCCCCTTTGCGGGCAAGAGAATCCTCAGACAAGAAATCCTTCCAGCCCAAATCGAAGAAGAAGAAGATTGCTCGCAAGCCGCAGAGAAGTTACAACTCAAGTCGAAGAGAAGAATCAACTGCGAATGATCGATAGAAATTAGCCCCAGTGTCGAACCAAACCACACTCCGACATACACAATTCTAAAGAGTAGGCAATTCGAAATCTTTAGGTTGTGTGATAGAAGCTTGGTGCCATAGTCCACAGAGCGGGTCGGGAAATGAGAACAATTTTGTTTTTATGTAGCGGACATTAAGATATAAAAGGTTGTTACCCTTTTTTTTTTCATCAGCAATCTTTTTTGTCTCGTGAGTTTATTTTTCTTTTATTTGTGTTTTGCCACCCCCCGTCGGACTCAACTTGTATCGCCCCAATCCCTGCTGGTCCTGTCTGTCTAAGATCTAAACACAGCGTGGGTAGACAGTCCGGAGATCGGTACAGTTGCTTTAGTGACCAGGTATTGGAAGCGAGTCGGGAAAGGCGAGGCTGGTGATCATCTGACCAAGGGGTTGGAGCGGCACGCTTGGACCCAGGAGGAGCGACCAGGAGGAGCGACGTCACCGCTGGCGCCGTAACCAAAGGATCCGACCCTGGGCCAGGTGTGTAACCGTCACACTTCCAGTTAATAAATTAATCCTTTGAAAATAAATATTTAATACTTTTCAACCAATGGATCGCATTCCCACCAACAATTAAAAACATGCTTTGTGATCCTTTTGAAGAATATTTAAGCAAAGACACCAGGCCAGACAAGTCAGTAAGGAGATAGAGACAGATACATGCAACATCAGTTCATGATGGCCAGTGGGTTAAAAGAAATTCCCTTACTCATTCAGCAATCTTCCTCACCCAAGCGACATGACATTTACACCTTTCCTCACCAAGCTATATGACATTTACACTCTTCCTCACCAAGCTACGTAACACTTACACTTTCCTCCTCACTTCCTTAACTCTTTTTTTCTCACACATACACAAAGAAATCACATTTTTTTCATCTTAACAACCAACTGCAAACAAGGAACTTTAAAACAAGAACTTTAACACTCATACATGCTGAGAAAAATTTAGTTGTAAAAACACGAAAATAAAAATATTTTATATTTTTATATTTAAAAACCTTTCTTGCCATTTTTATGGGTTGATTCAAATCCACAATAAATATACATATTTTGGTAAATGAACGACAAAATGGAAAAAATCCTAGATAATGAGTTTTGACTCATTATCTAGGATTTTATAAAGGAACTTCTTCAGACTAACAATGATTTTATCAAAGGTGTAAGTCTTATATGGGACAGAGTATAAGCAAAACATTAAATCAGCTTTTTTATGACAGGTGTATTCAGGTGTTTAACTTAGTTGACCTCATTCAAATTTATATTGCTTTTGTTTTTAATTGTCTATTTATTGCTATTGTCTTTAATTATTTGATATTGTATCAATCCTAGTTTTATGTGGAAAGGAGATATGTTGTATTTATTTATTCTTCTTGTCACTGTGCAATGTATAATGAAACAGCAGACCCCCAGATGCACCAAAATAAAAAGAAAAACACACACACACATATATATATGTATGTATGTGTGTATATATATATATATATATATATACACACACACACACACACACACACACCTACAGACAATGATGATGAAACTGATATGCACAGCATTGAATGAAGAAAAGTAATGACATTTAAAATACATTTAAAATTGTGTGCCAACATTCATTTTACTCAGGACCCAAGGATTAAAGCTGTCCCTCAATTAATCTGTCCTGGAACTAATAGATCTAAAACGTTGCCCCGAGGATAACAGTTTGAATAAGTGGTACCCAGGACATGTGCTGTCTTTCAATATGTTTTCTGCTCTGCTGCGACAAAAAGAATTAGAAATGTTTTCCAAGAAGAGCAGCCGATTATTTACTGGGCAACATCTGTAACCGTCTGGAGGACCCTCCTGTCCTCTGTCAAGCAGCTGGCATACCAAACAGTACGCCAGCACACTCTCAATAGAGAAGTAGTAGAAAATCAGCAGCAGATTTGTTTGTAAATTAGTTTTCAGAGAATTCTTCGGAAATAGAGTCACTGCTGCACCTTTTTGATGATCTTAGTGGAGATATTGCTAGTTCAGGAGAGACCCTCTGCAATGATCCTAGATGTCAGAATGTAAATTTTCTATAGAGGATTAGTGCTTTTTCTATACGTTTTCACCTTAATGAAATATTTTCTCTTTTATTCAAAACTACATTCATCATCAAGACAGACCAAGCATCAGACAGCCGGATGCATCCAGGTTTGCCAAATCTTGCATGTCTCAATCCATTTCTGGCCAATTGTGTGAGATCCAATCCAATTCACATGAATGGCCTCATCAAACTCTCTCTGATTCACAGCCATCTCCACCACTGACACCAAGGGAGAGAAAGGGAAGAGGGAGAGAGGATGATTATCCTGATCCTCGGAGGTGAGGGGGTGCCAACAACAACAACAACATTCAAATCAAAATTATGGTCAGATCTATCACAATGAACAACTAATGTATTGAATGTATTGTTTTGTATATAGGAATTTAAATAAAAGATATTATGAACACAAGATGATCTTTTACAAAACAATACATTCAATACAAGATCATCTTGTGTTCATAATATCTTTTATTTAAATTCCTATATACAGAGTTGTATATCAAACCTTTCATACATATATATATATATATATATATATATATTTTGAACAATAAAAATATTAAAAAATTAAAATATTCAGACACATTAAAATATTAATATTCCTTCGTTTTTATTATTATTTCATTTAGATTCCCCGACTAGTTTCGGCCAACATGGCCATCATCAGGAGAAAAATATTCTTCTGCTTGCTGGTAGCAGTGAACTACAGAAATGAATATCTTGATGGAGAAAAGGAACTTTTATCTGTAGTTTTCATTTGTTTTTTTAATTTTTTTAACATGAATTTTGCTCAGACTTTGTGTTGGCCTCTTTTAAGTTGTTGAGATAAGAGCTGGATGGATTCATGCTACTCTGAATTCCCTTGGCCATTTTGACAGTTTTATTGGTTCCTGGAAAGGGGATGTGTCTCTGTTAAGTGTGTGTTTGTTATTTGGCTCATTAGGGAGTGAGTTAGTATGATTTGTGTAAGTGTGTATATTCGTGTGTGTGTGTGTATGTGTGTGTATATATATATATATATATATATATATATATATATATATATATATATATATGTGTGTGTGTGTGTGTGTGTGTGTGTGTGCAGGTAAGATGAGAATGAATAGAGTAAAATTCCAACATTCCTAACATTTAATTTAAAAGAAGGCTCAATACAAAGTAGACCAATATTCTTTACTTTAGGATATTATATCGAAAACGTCAAAATCACTACACAATTGCAGTTGTGTTTCGATGCATATCAACACATCTCATCAGATGATCATAAATTACTGGCAAGTGAATGATTTATTCAGATTTAAAAACAAAATACAGTCTCTTTTTAGGAAAAAAGAAAAAGGTGGGGGTTATAAGGTTTGTGGGCTTTACTCAGATCAACCAGTCAAATATGATGTACATTAAATTTAGACTAAGGGAAGAAGCAAAAATTAAGAAATTATTTTTCATAAATGGATCATTACACATAGATTTGAAAACAATGTGTTTACATGAACAATTTTGAGCCCTATCAAGGCTAGAAAGTAAGGATTGAGCAGCTCCTGCCCAGATATGGCAGCAATACTTTATTTGCTTCCTAACAAAATGAATTTGATTAGAATCCTCACCTGTGAATAAGACGATTTGTCTCTAGAACATAAAACACTTCAACAGGATAGTTCTGAAAAATAAAGACATGAAATTAAACAAAGCAACAACGAAAACATTCACCTGGATGATGAAGACAAAGATAAGTAATACATCCATTAAATGAGGCATTAATTCAAAGCTGACTCGTTAACTAATTACAGGATCAAAGAAAAAACAATTTTGATGTCTACTAAATTAATACGGCACAAGGCCCAAGATTAATTAAATAAGATTTTTCTGCACCAATATATATATAAGCGTTCTACTAGGCTGGCATCTCGCTCACACCCTTTCACTGTCAAAACTGTTAAATGTAGCCATCTCTTCTACTCCAATAGCTTCATGTCTTGCACCTCTCACCTGTGGAACTCCCTCCCCTCTTCCTGGTTCCCTGATAGCTATAATCTCCAACTATTCAAATGTAATGTCAATCGACGTCTCGAGATGCTCTGATCTATCCCCTATCTTTCTCTTCATCCTTTCCTCTATCACTCGTATTTGGTCTTCCTCCAACTCTCTCTAACCCCTTGTGTGCTAGTGGCTTCCCGTCTTGCTTGGTGTGAAATGCTTAAGAAAAAAAATACATATATATATATATAAATATATATATATAATGTGTGTGAATGTGTGTGTGCAAGTTCTCAGAATAAATCTGTAGAGAAGACAAATTGAATAAAATAGACAATCAGAAAATAGAACTTTGTCCTTACCAACATTTCATTTTTGTTTATCATCCCTTGCATTGATAAAGTCAAATGATGAAACACATCAGCAAGGACTAAGTACTATTTTCCGATTGTCTATTTTATTCATATATATATATATATATATATATATATATATATATATAAATACTGCCTATATATATTTATATATATATATATATATATATATATATATATATATTACATGAATCATTCATACAAAAAACAGATTACTGAAGTTAATGATATAAATGGCAAGAATACATCTTTGCAAACAAATTTATTAAAATTACATTAACCCACGAACCTCTAGATGAATGTTGTGATCCCTGTTTTTAATAAATTCAACTTGTATAAGGTCTTTTTTTGCTAGTACTTTCATCTGTTCATACAGATATCATCAGGCATGGAAATTGATTTGTTTTTTTTAAATACATCCAGGTAATAATGGGACACGAAAGATTAGATGTGAGTCGAAATATGTTTTTTAAAAATGTGTTATTGTTAACTGTAAGAAATTCTGGATCATGTGGTCGCAACGCTAAGGTTGAATTTTTTGAAAATTTAAAAGAGAGTGCATTTTTTTACTAATATGGTAATTGGAGAATTCTTTTGTTGTATATATATATATATCTATGCAGCATATCTTCATTCAAGCATATTTGGTTGAATAATCTAGACCTATTATATCTATTTATTTTTATTTTAATCCTTTCTTACCTTTGGTTTAACCTTTGAAAGCAGAAAGGTAAAAAAGATACTAGCGGTTGCTCGAGGAATAGGCTTACATCTCGTTGGTATACTCCAACGAACTTGATACTTGTAATGAGTATCAAATTCAAATTCTTCTCTCCTAAGGAAGTCAATGCAAAATAACCAGCTTGCATCATAGTCCCAAGTCTGTAAATAAAAAAATAAAAACTAAATAAGCCACCATTGATGAGTTTTTGTTTGAATTTTACAACCACTCCACCCTTGGCACATGAAATATTATAGCCAGTGCCACTATGTCAAAAATTACAACTACAATCTCATAACATTTGTGAATGTCAGTCTTTGATGTGTTGTATGCCACAGTTATGGAGAGGAAAAAAGATTTGAGTGATTTTGTCATAAAGTTCAAAATGCTAAGGACATCAATCAAGGTAAGTACATTTCCAAAATGGTAGAGAATTAGAATATTGTTGCCACATATGATACAGTGTCCCAGCTATTTACTTTTAGCTCTTTGATAAAATCCAAAGAAGACTCAGCAATATAATTGATTCTGATCTGCTGGCTCAGCTTCAGTCACTTTCCCACCACCATAAGCTTGCCTTTCTATGCCCTTTCTATAAATACTTTCATGGTAAGTGATTGGATGAGCCCTTCACTATGGTACCTAAGCATTTTTAATTTAGGCATAGCACTAGACTGGCATCAAGATCTCATCAATTCACAGGTGAACTGGCTAGATATAGCCATAAATTCTATGCTAACAGTTTCTTTTCTCACACTTCTTGCTTGTGAAACTCCCTTCCAGCTCCATGCTTTCCAGACAACTTTAATCTGCAAAAAATTAAATACAATGTCAATCACTATCTACTGCACTCCTGATTACTCTTTCCTCTTACTGCTCATTATTAACATTTCTGTCCCTAATTCTTCCACACTTCATAATACCTTGTGGCTTTACAGCCTTGCATGAAATTGTACCAATTAAAAAAAAAATGGTATAACTTGCGTTTGCTTTATTTTCTTTTACTATTGTTTACCCAATAGAAGAATCAAGAGCCACTCAAAATAGAGGGTTACTAAATGAGGTTGTTGAAAGAGTGTAACGGGAAGGAACAAGACATATACATTATAAGTGTTAACTATTATTTTTTGTAACCAGTATAACTAGTTATCTCCTCCTCCCCAACTTAATGAACTGTTCCGATCAGCAGTGGCAGCAGCAGGAGCATAGACTTGTATCCCCGTCTTGCACAGGGTGGATTAGGCCATTAGATACTATTTAAACTGCTGTGATTTCACTCACAATCTTCTGATGCTTTGATCTTGATCCCCCATCTTTCTCTTTATCCTTTCCTCAAGCACCCCCCTCTTTTCTCTTCCTTTCACTCTCTGTAACTCCTTGCATGCTAGTCATAATAATAATAAAACAACTGATGATAATAATATAAAAAGTGATGACAGTGAAGATGAAGACAAAGAAAATATGGATGCTGCAGGAAATGGTACTGAGAACAATGATGACTTTCCTAGAGATGTGCATCAAGACAATGAAACAAAAGATGAAGATTTGGGATCTACTGCCAACATAGAGAAGAATAGATCAGCATCTGTTAGACAATTGAACCCCAGTGTTATTAAAGTTCAGAAAGATAAAATAATTCAGTTCCAACTTGCGTAAAATGGAAAAGAACATGAAGCTAAAATTCTTGGATGGACCAGAAAAGCATCTACCAAGACAAAGAACTGGTACAATATTGAATATATAAAACCTAATGACATAAAAGGAACAATTATGTCTATTGATTTATCAATTGTGAAGAATCTGAAGATAAAACAAATGGAAATACAAACGGAAGAGTTATAAATCTTGATTTTTCAGAAGCAAAGAGAGATGAACTGAGAAAATGGAAAGAACTGAAAGTTTATTTAGAAATAGAAGATAAAAGGACAAAAATGCATGTCATTTAGGTGGGTAAATACAGTGAAAAATGATGATGACAAGATGAAGTTAAAATCTAAGTTGGTAGCAAAAGGATTTGAGGAAGATTGTCTCAAAGAAATACCCCAAAATTCACCAACAATCGATAAGTCATCTCTAAGAACAGTATTATTAGTCCTTGCACAAAATAATTGGTTTGTCAATACTATTGACATAAAAACTGCATTCTTGCAAGGTAAAGAAATTGAACAGGATATCTATATTAGACCCCCGTCAAAGGCATGTACTAAAAAGATTTGGAAATTAAAGAGATGTATCTATGGTTTAGCAGATGCATCATTGCAATGGTATCAAAAGGTAAAAACAACTATGTTAAAATTCAAAGGACAGATATCTAAGATTGATACAGCAATATTTTATTGGTTTGATAAGGGCCTGTATGGAATATTTGTCGTTCACATTGATAATTTTTTATGGGCATGAAGTGGTAGATTCCAAAAGGATATAATATCAAAATTCAAAAGTATGTTTGAAGTTGAAAAAGAAGCAACAAGTCCATTCAAATATATCGGATTGAATCTGAGTCAAGAAAAGATGTATATTATGTCAACACAGAAGCAACATCACAGAAGTGAAACTAGACAAAAAGGAGAAAGCAGCACACTTATCCGAGGATGAGAAGACTAAGAGCTAATCTTGGTCAGTTCTTGTTGATTTCCAAACAATCACACCCTGATATTGCGTTTGATGTGACAGATCTGGCTGGGAGAATCAATGCAAGTGCAGTTGAAGATTTGAAAAGATTGAATAAGATTATCAAGGAAGTACAATCTGACTATGTTTATTTGAAGTATCAAAATTTGGGCAAGAACCTAGAGATAAATGTTTTTATGGATACATCACTTGGAAATTTGAATTACGGTGGCAGCTAAGGATGACATTTTTGCTGAATTGATGTTTGCGAGAAAGATAAGATCAATATTTGACAGATTGTTGCCTTGCCCAAAAAAGAAAATGCATAACAAAGAGAATTTCTGTGCAAAGAAGTATACGCCTGGTGACAAAGTTTTCTTTAGGAACTACTGAGGTGGAAAATGTTTTTGGGAAGATGGAATTATTTCAAATAGAATTGGAAGAGTAATCTATATGGTGAAAGGAAAAAGATGTGTATTCAAAAGGCACATAAACCAGTTAAGACCAAGATACTCTGAAATCCTTCAACAGGATGATGAAGGAACTTTGATGGATGTACTGTACGACATGTTTGAAATAACACCACCCACTAACATATCAGAATGCATGGATACATCTCCTACACCAGCTTTGCCTGTAGGATCGAGATGCTATTCGCCTTGAAAGAGTACAAGGAAAAGAAAACTCATAGTTAAGTCCAGAACCAAAAAAGAGAAAGTATTAGAAAGTTAAATTTTCTAGGGGAAAATTTCAGCTCAAGGGGAGGTGATATAATGGAATAACCAGTCACCCCCATGAGTGACTACACTATAGGTAGTAACTAACTATAAGTATCTGTAAGTCAATGGACTACAGAGACTAGCTGGGATCTGTTGGTTATGACTCAGACTTACATAAGAACTACCGACCTTCCAATGCTAGCACTCACTACTGGATTGCCTTGCGACAACCTTATGCATAACTGTTACCTTTATTCTTATTGTACTGGTTTGTTACAATAAACCTTTACTTATTTTATCCACTTTGTTTTTCAAGTATATATTCCTATTAGCATGGAATATAACAGTTTTATAATCACTAAAGGAGATAATCAGCAGATGATTCCAATATCATGGCAATCCTGCAAAATGACGAGAGTACTAAAAAGTACATTAGCCAATGAGACACTAGCTCTATCGTAAGGGATTGACAAATGCATTCAGTATCCCAATGCTTTTTGGTGAATTGTTTAATAATAATCACCAAAAGATCATTCCTATCAAGTGTTTTGTAGATAACAGTGATTTGACCGAAACAACCAAATCAACTGAACTTGTTGCAGATAAGAGATTGAGAAAAGAAATAGAAAGTATCAAGGAAATGTTAGATAAGGGAGAAATCTGTTCAATAACAATGGCTGAAGTCTAATGATTAAATTGTTGTCAAACTAAAGCAAGTGCCTCACCTTACTACAAGACAGACTGTCTGAATAATGCAGAGATGATAGAATGTTTACTTTTAAATAAGAAAATGAATTAGATTGTTAACTATTATTTATTGTAACTGGTATAACCAGTTATCCCCTCCTCTCTAACTTAATGGACTGTTCCTATCAGCAGTGGCAGCAGTAGGAGCATAGACTTGTATCCCCCTCCTTCACAGGGTGAATTGAGTCATTAGATACTATCTCAAGTCCTGTGATTTCTCTCTTGGCAATTGAACTTTACTTGTCTAGAGGAACTACTGCTGACATTTGAAACCAGACCTGGACTCTTATCAATAAGGATGGAGGATAGATAAAAGTTGACTTCAGAGGTTAAGATTGTAATGATCAGAGAAGCATCCTCTTGGAAGTCTGTTCCACAATACACTTCTGGGGAAGAAGTTGTCTGAGTGGAACTTCCTCTTCACCAATGAATGAGGGTGAGTTGACTCATTGTACATAACCTGGAGGGTCATAGCTGCAAAGGTCTGGACTGGTGGAACCAAGGATTGTCGTGATGAGTATCTACTCATTGGTAAATGGCCCAAAGAAAGAAAAATCATCAGTTGATAATAAAGTGTCAAGGAAGCAAAAGTTATTAATACAAGAAATAATGTGATACTATTTCTGATCTTATTATAGACTGCAAAAGTTTAATAAACCATAAAAAACAAATCAATCTGTTATATCCCAGGTTGTTAGGATGAACAAAAATGAATGAAAATAAAAGACAAGTTTATTTTAACATATAATAAAATAACTTTTACTCATTCACTGCCTGAAAACAAGCAAGGATTGTTTGAGTTTAAACCATGAGTTTCATGTCCATGTCAGCTTAGCACCATGTTGGATTCAGAAGTACCATGTTCCCACTCCCAGACAAGAGACATAGCTCCATTGTATTTTGAGTTATTATCCTTTATAAGGGGAAGTAAGTAACATCCCCCAACACAATCAATGATCATATCATAATAACTGGTAGAAATTTTCATGAAATGGCTATTATTAATAAAATAAAATAAAATAAAAACAAATGGGATTTTTATTCAAATAAACTGAAAATATTTACACTACACCATTTACATTCAG